TACGGTCAACAACAAGTACAACCAATCGTTCAAGATCAACCATTAGTTCGTGCTATCGGAAACTCATACGGTCAACAAGATTTACAACCGGTAAGCATGTTCTGAAATCATATCTATATTATTATTGTTTTTGATATTATAGGTATTTCCAGTCAGATCACATCATGGTCATGGTCGACGAGTTGAACAATCATATGGTGGTTATTAAACAAAATCAATAAAACTAAAATGTCTTGCATTTTTTAGTTTTTAAATTTTAAACATTGTTTATATGATTTTGATTTATTTTATTTCTCTCTCTCTCTGATTCGTTCGTTTTGTTTTTACAATAAAGATATATTGAAAAAAAACTACACAAAAGCTAGTTAAAAACGTATATATACAGAGAAAAAAGAACGAGAATAACTAGATAATATAAAATGATAAGAATAATTTGGGTAAAATATCAATCTCAAAAATTATGTTCATTAATTAAATTTTCTGGTAATTCAATTCCTAAACGACGAAGTGTTTGCTGGAGACTTTCACCTGAAAAAAAACAGAACATAAGTAAACAATTTGATTTCTTATTTTATTCGCATACCTGAATTCATATAAAATGGTGTAACATTTTCTTCTACTGAAACATCTTCTTCTTGAACATTATCATCCAAATGAATAGGTATGGCTGATGCTGATTGCATAATTTCTTCATCCATTTGTTGATGTTGTTGTTTATTATTATTATTTTCATCAACTTTATCATTATTCTCAACCTTATTTTGTTCTCGTTGATCCTCATCTACTGTTATTGTTGCAGTTGGTAATTCATAATCTGGATCTAGAATAGCACTAGTTGTCATTGCTGAACCAAAAGATGGTGGTGGATTCTAAATAATCGTTAATTTTTTATTAAGTACAGAATAAAACTCAACTTACAAGATCTTCAATAACACCGACAGCTCGAGCCTGTTGTATGACAAGATCTGGTTCATATAATTGTGAGCCATAACGAGTTAAATATACTTGTGGATCTTCACGTGTAACACTTTGTTTTTGAAAATTACGAATAATATTTGCATGAACAGGTTCATAACTGAAAAAAAAA